TTACGAATGGACGAAGGAAACCAGGTGTATTTAAATGCTTCTAAAACGAAGGCACTACCGATTTCTAGTCTCCGCTACAACCTAAGTGACCTCACACCTATTGTTTTAAATAACGAAAACATTGAGTATGAAACTGTTGTCAAAAACCTGGGATTTAAACCAAATAGCAGACTTAATTGCTCTGATCATGTAAACTACACTATAGGAAAAATATATAATGTTCTTAGACCACTTTGGTTCTCAGCTGCATATCTGTCTCAAGATGTATTGTTAAGACGTTGATTGTTGATTGAGCCTTCTAAATTCAATGGCGTCCCCAGTTTTGCCCGATTGGCTTCTTTTCGAGATAGATATACTTGAAACTTTGCATAAATTTTAACTGTTTTATAAAAAAAAACTCTCTCATTTTGAAGATATTTTACTAAAATGCACACGATTGTATTTTAATATAACGTTAATTATCTCTTAAAATCATCGAAATCAGTTCACTATAACATCTAGCTCCCATACAACTGATTGTTCAGAGACGTTGTTTTGCGTTATAGCTCCTCCAGTTAAGCAGGTAAAAATTTGGGTTAGCATACAATTTATTATTAAGATATGAAGTTAGAGTTATAGCGCAAAAACACATATATGAGTAATCAGTTGTATTGGAGCTATATGTTGAAGTAAATCCATTTCGATAATTTTAAGAAATAATTAAGGTAATATTAAAAACCGTCAATTGCAAAATTTTACTAAAATAATTTCTAAAAAATAGCTAAAATTTATTCAAATTTTCAAGTGCCGTTATCTCTAAAACCGGACCCAATTTGATAAAACAGGGGATGCCATTGAATTCGGAACGTCCCAATTAAGTGGGTTGAATTTTGAAAAGCTTTGCTAAAAATTTATAACTTCCACCGCGTAATTTGAACCCAGCATATTCTTTTGTTTTCTATTTCAGCGATCCAAATGTTTATTCCTCGTCTAACTTGATGAAAATGAATTATGTACACTTATATTTATCTATTTGTTAAGAGATTACGAATAGAATCATATATGAAACATAGGTGTGCCCACAAATTAAAAAATTAAACTTTTTGTTTTGAAAGTGTACCTGATTTTTAGATTTGCCCATATATATTCAAAAAACTTGAAAGTATTTTGGCCAGAATCCCCAACAGGGTTGCCACTTTGGTAAATTGCTACCAAAATTGGTAGAAAAAATTTGGGTTGGTAAAAAGGTAAAGTTTTTCTCATTTTGGTAGATATTTGTTGAACATTTCGTTACCGATTTATTTTTCGTAGTTATATTTATATTATAAATTTCTTTGCATACTTTTTATATACTTACATACGTATAAATGTATATCGATATAAGGCGAACATATCGTGCACCATTCAAAACTCATTTTACTGGAATCCCGGTGAGCTTTTGATTGCCTATATATTTTAAATGATTATTTAAATACATATAAAACAAATTTACAGGTATGTAATGACGCTCTATAATTGTTCGCAAAAAAAATTTAACCAACGTCATTTTTTATCAATAGAAATTGTTAAATAAAAAACACAAAAGACTGGTGGCAAAAAAAAAATCAACGGGAGCCACATTGTGAGCTATACTCAAATATTATTTGCTTTAAAACTCGGTATCTTAAATTGTTCTAAAAATTCAGAGTAAAAAATTCGAAATTTGGACGATAATTTTTCTAAGTGTTTTATATAGTTTGAATCCTTAATTTTTATGAATTTAGTTAAAACAACAAAAAAATTTGACTTGAAAAACATTGCGAATAATAAAAAAAATCACCAGGTGCTTTTTTGAGTCACTGTATTTGTCAGCCTTGAAAACCAACGGAGAATCACTCTTGCCAAAAAGTGCTACGTTGGGCTGAGCAGGCAATTAAGAAGTAAAGTACTCTCTCGTCGTACAAAGATCACACTCTATAAGTCACTCATCATGCCTGTGCTGGTGTATGGCGCGGAGGCATTTTCGAGAGAAAGATTCTGCGAAAGATTTACGGACCTTTACGCGTTGGTGATGACGAATATCGCAGACGATTTAACGATGAGCTGTATGAGCTTTACAACGATATAGACATAGTGCAGCGAATTAAAATTCAGCGGCTCCGCTGGCTTGCTATGGGGGCACCGAAATTGCGCATATGGAAACTGTGCATTTAGACCAGTCATTCCCACCGGCGGCAGAACTCCATAAGCAAGTGCCCTGCGCTGGCAGAATTCCATATGCAAGGGCCCTGCGCTGGGCATGACTGATTTAGACATTATTTCGGTTTCAACCGAAACTGGGCATGTATGCTTTATTTCGGTTTTTGCCAATGCATTATTTCGGGTTTCAACCGAAACTGTGCATGTATGCATTACTTCGGGTTTTTCATATGCGTTATTTCGGTTTCGTTGTTGCCTTTAGTTTCATCACTTCCGCTTTGAAAAAACTACGAATATGCTAATAATATGACTCAAATACCGTATAATTAGCTAAATAAAAATTTCCTTAAAAACAATTTTAATTCTTATTGAAATAACTCAAAAAATAACAAAACTGTAGTTTTAATTGAAAAAAAGAAAAAAATAAAGCTATAGTTTTTATTAAAATAACTATACAAAAATTTATTGGTAGATATTTTTTAGATTTGGTAGATTTTTGTCAAGTGGATGGTAAATATTTTTTTTCGTCAGTGACAACCCTGATCCCCAATATAAAAAGATTTATTATTTACTGGCTCTACAACTAGGAGTGAAGATTCATCGAAGTACTCCCCAGCAGAATTAAGTTTATTTAAATATTGTCCAACTACATCTACGGATGAGGAAAAAGGTTTTTCTAATTATTCCACAAATTTACATGACAAGAGAAGGGTATTTAAAATCGCATACTGTAATTCCGAGATTATTGATTAAAAATATTGAAAAGTTAAATAAAACTTCATTGATTTAGCATATTTAAGAGCATATTTTGGTAATTTATTAAGCTTTTCATAGCGCCTGTTACCGTTTTTTCTGGCATATTTTTGACATCCCTGAGGCGACCGCCTTTGTTAGAGAATCTTTAGTAAAATTTGCCTGTAATTTGCTCCAATTAACATATTTATGTTCTCATAAGCATGTAATGTTATTACATTTTATTTGCCAATTTTTATTGTGGCGTATTTATATTTATTTCCATAGTGTTATTGAGCTTTGTACCACGATTTGTTCGTTAGCAAAAATGGAAAAACAACATTGCTTAAGCGGTAGAAGTTATAGCAGCTATTTCCGAGATCAGCAGCTAATTCCATACATGAAATAGATTCATTGCATAGTTTTTAGGGCAGGGTTCGATCCCTGCGAAAAGTCTAGAAAAAAAGAAGTCTGATGAGGAAATGTGGTGATCTCCGAAATAGCTGCTATAGGTTATACCGCTTAAGAAATGTTGTTTTTCCATTTTTCCTAACAAAAAAATCGTGGTACCAAGCTCAATAACACAATTGAAATAAATATTAACAATCCACAATAAAAATTGTAAAAAAATAGTTTGAGATGAGCCTGCCCTAAAAACGATGCAATGAATCTATTTCATGTATGGAATTAACTATAACAACCATGCTGTCAAGCTTAAATAGCGGCGAATCAGCTGCACTTGATAGTATGTATAATGTTGAATAAGGAAATGGATTAGCAACAAAAGCTTACGGGGTGTGCATACCGCTTCTGACTTTGTTCATCGATGACGCGGGTTCGATCCCTGCGAAAAGTCCAGAAAAAAAGAAGTCTTATGAGGAGATGTGGTGATCTCCGAAATAGCCGCAATAACTTCTACCGCTTAAGCAATGTAGTTTTTCCATTTTTCCTAACAAACAAATCGTGGTACAAAGTAGAGCTGAAAAACTATCGATGGTTCTATCGATACTATCGAATGGTTCTATTTTTTTGCACTATCGAATGGTCGTTGGCCACTATCGATAGTCTTTGTTTGAGGAAACATACATATTGTTTATATTGTATGTATGTACTACTTAGTATGCATTTCCTTATTTTTGAAAATGGGAATTTGGCAACATTGATTTGCATATACATCCTATTTTTTACCTATTACCGGGTTTTACACGTTTCAAGTATTGAATTCAATTCTACTTGCTAGTGGAAGACAGGAGTTGAGAAGAAAAGGGAAGAGTACATATGCGTCTGTACCGGCAAGTGGTTTCAAGTTTCCTGCTTTACTTTTGACATTTTCGTTGTTTCCCAACCAAACCAAAAACTGGTATTCAGCAAAATTTAAGCGTGTAAAAGCAAACAGAAAACCCAAAGAGAATGAACCAGAATTGCTTTAAAGTACTTGAATCATGTAAATCGGGTGTAATTAAATTTGAAAAAACTTGTTTGAATATCTTTTTGGAACCATACTATGGTGTTAGTGATTCTGCGTGGATAGAAGAAACTATTGATATAAGCCAGGGTTAGTCAAATTTTGGAGATTCTTGTATTTCCGTTTAATACTTTGAATGGATAAATAATCATGTAAACGTCGGGGTACGGTTCGTCTATTTGTACAATGATTTGGATTCTTGTAACGTAAATTTTGGAGTGTGTTCTATGCAATAATACTGGGGCATAGCCGGAGTTGGACTGATGAAAGTTTTTTGTTATACATACAGTTTTCTTTATGTTTACAAGGGATTTGTTTTTATTCGATTGGGAATTTTAGGTTTTTATATTATCGGCTTAAAATATTTTAAAAATCGAAGAGAAAGGACAAAGTTACTGAAAATCGCTTTATAAAAATTAGCTAATTCTTCAGGAACTAAATAAAACTAAAAAGTTTATATAAATAGCTTCGTCAATGCATTTTAGAATTATCCGATACTATCGATAGTATCGATGATTTCAATGCAAACTATCAAAAAGATCGAATGGTATGACTATCGATATTTTTACAGCTCTAGTACAAAGCTCAATAACACTATTGAAATAAGTTATGTATTACATTTTCTTAGTCTCTATTTCCCTCCTAGGTTTGAGGAAAATGTTTCGCCAATTTATAGAATTTACAAACCGATATAAAATTATTCGTGGCATGCTGTCATATGGAATGCTGTGGCCCTGTGGTTGCCTCATTGAACAGACTTTAATCGAAAAACGGACATTCCGCAATTTTGACTGGATGAAATGCCTCAAGTGAGTATAATAAAAAATCGTTTGACTTAAGCATGATTCCCAAACATAAAATCATTTACTCACTCTAATTTGCACCAAAACAGGTTCAGTTTGTTTGGAGGTCTTTTTATGGGACCAACCATTTACGTATGGATACGATTGGCTGGCGTCATGTGGCCCCGCACCGACATTAAGTCATCACTTTGCAAAGCAATTACCGAGCAAGCGGCCTACGATCCTTTTGCGATAAGCACTTTCCTCTTTACCATGAATCTAATGGACGGCGGAAAGTACGAACAAGCCAAGAAGGAGGTAAGAAAAAAAAGTAGCAAGGGTGTACATAAGAATTATATAATAAAAGATTGCGCATTCCCGGCGGCAATGACACTTCTTAAGAAAAAGCAAACTAATCCGAATAGGAGGATAAAAGAAACGGTCAAACAGCTAATTTTTTCAATATTCAATTTTTCGATAGTGTGGTTAATTATGTTCAAAATGTATTCAACAAAGTGTGATTGATTTTGACATTGCTCTCATAAGAAACAGGCTATAATGTCAAATTGAAATGAATTGTTAACCCATTTGAAAATATTTTTTTTTCAATTTGAATTTGTTTAAAAAAATTTACACAAACATTTTTCAAGCAACAAATTTTCTTAATACACGTGAAATTGTTAAGAGACAAACCGCCGAGGAGAGCAAGTAAGTACATTTAAGTTTGGTAATAAGTAAATACGTTCGACTTTGCTTAAATATTTAATGTAAGGAAACCAAGATGAAACGGAGCAAAACTTTTGAACGGTGCGATGTATGCAATATAAGTCAGGACACGAAAATAGTGCGATGATTTAAACCACCTAGATGCGAGTTAAGACGGCAGCAATGTGATGTTGTACTGCGTGATTCATCTCGCGTTTGTGAAAACCACTTCAAGGAAAGTGATTTCATTTGTTCTCCGTCCGAATCAAGCACTTTCAAACGAGCTCGTTTATACCCAAACTATTTCGCTTGAAAAAAATTTAATTTCAAAATTGTTAGAGCTCTTAATATAAAATTGGAAACAAATGTAAAATCATACTTTAATAAGTGTCAAATAATGTTTAGGATAAAAAATTTAAATATAAAAATAAACGCACAAAAGCATAAAACTTGGGCATTTAAAAACAAGAAAATTGCTAAAACGATTTTATAAACAATTTGTTTTGTTTTATTGACAAAATATATATGTTCCAGGTAATGTAAGTAAAACAAAACTATAATCAAAATAAAAGCCTAGGGTATTAGTGCTGACAAGATACATGCATCACCAAGGGTTAATTCGTTTGTTTTTACTTTTTGACATTATAGTACCTTAAAAGAGATCCGCACTGAGTTGTCAATCACAACTTGTTTAATACACCTTGATTATGTTAATAAAAAATATAATATATAATTTTTAAAGAGAATTATTAAAGAAAATTTAAAAAACGGTGATTTTTATGGAAGTATTAGTGAATAGTGCATTTAGAGTTTCTGAGGCGTTGTTTACTTTACGTAGGAATTGTTAAAATCGGCAAAACCAAAGCAGCGGTTTGCGGAAACTACCTTTGTTCGCTACGTCATGGGGTGTACATCAGTGTTGTCACCGACAAATTTATTTTTCAGTTTTTAATTTTTTTTTTCAATGTCAAGTTTATTAACTATGGAACTAACATAACATCCAGTAAAACTAAACTAGTAAAATAAAAACAAATAACTGCGTATAAAACAAATATTTTTGTAGCCTTTACAATTGCATGTCTCTTTATAAATGCAAATTATTATTATTGTTACGTCCACGGTTGCCGTTTCCAATTTATTTTTCGGACCAAAAAATGTACCAAATGGTAAAAGATGCACCAATTTTTATTACATCGGGAAATTGAGTGGAGTATATTCCTCTTTATCAAAATTTTTTTTTTGCATCCAAAGTTCATAACAACTGCATATTATTAACATTATATTATTTAAAGTTTTAAATTATAATTTGTTTCATAATTTTGTTTTTATAATGCTAAATCAAAAATGTTGGGCTCAGCTACTGCGGAACTGTGAGGCAGACTAAAAATGTTATGAAATAAATCACACAATTCTCCGAAGGCTGCTTTACCCAATCCATTTTTAATCAAGCTTACTTGGTATTGGTACAGGTTTTGAAGTTACCTTCACTCAGCCTCAATTTGCGAAATCGAAATTCAATTATATCTGCATCATTTACCAATGCAGGAAATTGGTCGAGTAGCGGCAAAATTGATACATCAGTATCAGAAAGAACTTTATGTGGTGTAATAATTTCAAGATGTTTAATAACTTTTCGGTTAGAATCGAATATTATTTTCATGTGCTAAATACTATGATTATTTTTGCTACCTTTCCATATTTTTGCCAGCCACTTTAATATTAGTCTCCGAGTAATTGAAATTAGCAAGAAACCGCGATATATTTTGAAGCGTGCTTTGACAGATGATTAGCCACGCCATATTTTAAGATCTGTGACAAGGCGAGTTCACACTTTTAGCAGGTGTTGCCAATCGGTCCTATGCTGAATATTGTCATCGTCGTCGTCGACGATCGTCAGCGCAACAGTAACATGGCTGACGATGGCCATCACTTTTACTGAAGATGACGATATTAAACATAGGGCGGAATATTCATTAATTAAATAGAAAAAATAATAACCTAACCAAAGGCTTGTGAAATGGACCATTTTAAAAAGAAAGAACGAAAAGAAATTTGGTCCATTTGGACCAAAACGGCAATCGTGCTTGCGACACAGCTGATTACTTTTGTTTTGAAACTCTCCTGCGACAAAACTGCGACATTGCCATAATATTTGAACTGGCAATCGTTGCAAGCTCCAAGACGCGAAACACGTGATAATTTTATTACAATTATTTAATAAGTTAAATGAATCAGATATTACAATATGGGTATCAATTGAACTAGTTTTGAAAATACTTTACTTCTAACCGACACGTAGAGGGGTTGCCACATGTTTAAAAAATCAAATTCACATTAATTAAGGGAATAAGGTAACTGAAATATGTATATCAATATGAGTATCAGACAAATGAAAAAATTTGACATATTTAGCAAGAAATAAGTGAAGAGTAAAAACATTCCTGAGTTAGTTTAAGAGTCCAGTAATTTAAAATTAATGTAATCAGAACAAATCACTGATTGACAATATACGTATTTGTAATAAAATAACAAATATGATGGCGTAATCCTATGGTTTGACGTAATTATTATTTCAGTTTAAATAAATTCGAATTTACAAACAGGTGGCAACCCTATTCGTAATATTTTTAAGCTAAAATCTTCTTAAACCTCTTTCGTCTGACTCCCTTATGGTGATACCTATCTATTTCAATTACCTAATACTTTTAATTCAAGTGGAATTTGATTTTTTAAAAAGGTGGCAACTTTCTACATGTAGTTAATACACATTTCGATTGATTGGGATAGCAAAATCGATAATAAAATCGACACCAAAATCGATAACAAAATCAATAACAATATCGATAGTAAAATCGATAAAAAAATTGATACTCAAATCGATAACAAAATCGTTAATAAAATCGATACCCAAACCGATAAAAAAATCCATAGATATATCGATTATTATATCCATAAGTCCCGACAATACCGAAAATCCAGAAATAGTTCCCAGGTTGAGTCTCTGTGTCTCTATCTATACCATTATCTTTACTTTTATCGGTATCCTCACCCGATTAAAACCCCCCCTCAAGTCAAAGAATAATATTTCACTAATATGGGTCTAGAAAAAAGGCCCTATAGAAGAAAGTATGCGTAATAAATTCTCAAACACGAATTTTTAAAATCATATATTAAATTTTCGCTTTATTTATAAAACATTTTGATAATTTTAAAGACATTAAATTTTCCTTTTTACTTATAAATCAATGAAACGACGAATTTTCAAATTTTTCGTGGTTTTTTGAAAAATTCTTCTAGAACTTCGTCAACTGAAGAATTTATATCTTTGTGAATATTCATAGATGCTAGACCGTTGAGCCTTTCTTGACATGTTGTATTTCTCAAGTAGGTTTTAATTCTTTTCAGGCATGAAAAGCTTCGTTCAGGTGTGGCTATTGAAAGGGACAAAAGTGCCAATATACGTAAGATCTTAAAAACATTCCCAAAAGACGTTGTATTAGCTACTTGGAGTGCTTCGAGAGCATTTCGAAAATGTTCGTCTGAAACTCGTTTTTCCAACATTTTTACCTCCAGAAGAAAGTTTTGTTTCGAGCAGTGGATTACTTTTTCATAGAAAGCAAACAATTCTTCAGTTTTTTTCCTTAAAATCATACTTTGGAAACAAAACACTAGAATTATTTAAAACTGATTTATGGTTTAGGAACCGGCTTTTCAAATGAGCAATATATGTATCAAGGAAGGGAATGTAAAAAGCAATGCGATAGTATGCCTCGGCGTCTCCGGTTTTCACATTAACAGGTCTATTCTGCACGTTACCGATAATTTTGTAACCCGAAAATTATATTACCAGAAAATGTTACCAGTTCCTGTCACCGCGATTCTAGGTACGCTGGTAATGCAGTTAAAATATTCAGCAATTCAGCTATAAGAATTATGTAAAATCTGGCATTGCATATTTCACGGGGCTATGCTTTGTTACCAGGTTATGAGATGGTAACAAAAATTACCGGTTACAAGAGTACACAGAATGCGAAAAGGGTTTAAAAATTGACAGGAACTTTATTTACCGGTTACAAAGTTTACCTGTAAAGCGATTCTTTTGGCGACTGCTGTATCGCGGTACTTTGATTTCTGTACCTAGGTTGGTGCATACTTCTTCTACGTGTTCGAAAAGCAAATAAAAGTTTTTTTCTGCATCTTGTCGCGTTTCTTCAAATTCCTTTAAAGCGTCGTCGGCTAAGCTCATTTGTTCTGCAAGATCTTCATCAGGTACTTGTAATTGCCGGCTAGCAAAGCAACAACAATTTATAATAAAATTATAGTTTAAAAAACTAAAACCGTCATCAGGTATGTAACTTGATAATAGAAATCGCTGCATCTTTTAGGCGCATCAATATTACATAGTTACATCCCGAGCTATTAAAAGGAAGGTAAAAAAGCAAATGCTTGGCTGTTGTCGCTGTGCTAACAGTTTTTAAAACCCTGATAATTTCTATAGATATTCGCACGATACAAATAATTTTTACGGTATTTTCCCCGTGACAAATAAAAAGTTGTTGACAGTTGGAAGAAATACAACTTCGAAAGTCTTTTTTAAACGATTTTTCATTTTG